GGTCGCCCTCGACCACGAGCAGAGGAGTCAAAAACGGCAGGAGCAGAAACTTTGGGACCTCCGCGCGGACTTCTGGGACTGGCGCTGGGCACACCCTGCAAGGCCAGGGTTCTAACCCCCCCGTGCCAGCTGAACTGCGCAGCTGCGTGTTCGACCGTAGACCTCCCACTGCCTGACGGTCTTCGGCGGCCTCTGGCGGTCTTCCGCTGCCTTCAGCGCTCTAATGTCCTGGCGGTGCCCCTGGCAATGAGAAACAAACAGCTGCATCAACAAAACAAGTAAGAATATCTCAGGTCCACGCGGATTTCTTGGATCGGCGCTGGAGCCCCTTCCCTGGCACGCGGAGCGCGCCAGGGGCGAGGCCGGAGGCGCCGCCAGGCTGGCCCCACGCCGACCCAAGCAACTCGCGCGGACCTCTATTTTTGCCACCCAAACACTGCTGGCACTCAGGGTTTTTACTCGTATCCCTCAACAGCAGAGTTGGTCCGCCGAGCTTGCGCCACGCTGCCGCCCCTGGGCGCCTCGCGGGCGCCCCATGCGCTGGGTGGGTCCGCCGAGGTTTCGCCACCTGGCCGCCCATGGGCGCCGTGTGGGCGCCCCGTGCGCTGGGTGGGTCCGCCGAGGCCTCGCCACGTGGCCGCCCGCTGGCGCCTCGTGGGCGTGTCGTGCCCACGCTGCACAGCTCAAACCAGACAGATTGCACCACATAGCCTGCATCCCGGTAGCCCATAACAGACAGAGTGCACCACATAGCTTACACCGAATAGCTCACAGAGTACACCACATAGCTCACGCACAAGAGATTGCACTGCATAGATCGCACCATTTAGATTGTACCACGTATCTTACACGGCGCAGCTCACACCACACATACACACATAACCACATATCAGTACTGGGCCACAATACTTACACCTCATAGCTTGTACGACGTATATTGTAACACATAGCTTACACAGCCTAGCTCACACCGCAGAGATTGCACCACACCTGTTGCGCCACGTACAGTCAACCTTTCTAATAGGGACCCACGATAAGGACACAAGGGCCTTGGAAGGCCATGTCGACACCGTTCAAGCGGGGCGCGGCCAGCGAAAGTGGCCGAGGATGGGCCGAAGGGGAAGGATGCGAGGGTAACCCTGGAAAGTCGCTCATCCTTACTACGCGGGTTGACTGCAGCGTACACCTCACGGATCACACCACATAGATCGCACCCCCATCGATAACACTACAAAGCTTACGCGTCCAGTGGAGCGTCTCACTGTTTGGGGTCCACGCTGACAAGCAGATACGCAATTGTGCGTTCTTCGACGCGCCTCTCTTGCTGTCAGTTAATTAATACGCCGCGCGTCCCCAGCCTCTAGAGCGTGTGCGAGCGGATCGCGTCTATCGTGCTGCGACGTTAAAACAAGTTCTTCGACGCGCGCCAGGCTGCGACCGGCGCTGATCCAAGAAAGCCGCGCGGAACTCCGAAAGTGAATGCTTGGTGCCGAATGTTGCTCCTCGGCATGAGCTGCAGGGCCTCCGTCCACGCCGGGATGACGTCCTCTGACTACCTACCAGACCCCCCCTACCCAGCCCAAAGACCCGAATGTTGGGTGGGGGGGGACGGGGCTCCATACGTGCTTTTCCCGCGTTCCCCGACCCCCCCCCACGCTGGGAATGGAGGGCAAATCGTGGCCTTCGGGTTGGGTTGGAGTGGTGTGGTGGGTGGTGATCCTCGGGGGCGAACACGGCGGGCATGAGGATCGGAGGACGCCGGCCACACAGTCGTCGCGCCACCCCTGCGGGACGCCGCGTGCAGAGCGGAGAGCCCGTGCTGGCCACGGGGGGCCTCGGCCACGAACGGGCTCCACGGCCAAAGCGGCTCCTGCTTCGGCGCTGCGACTGCACGCGAGCACACCGAACCCTGGCCTGGCCCATCCCGAGGCGGACCCAGGGCGGAACATCCTTCAAGAACATGGGACCCTCCGCCGGTCAGGCTGAAATACAATTCGAGGGCACCCTCCCCCAGGATGCCCGAGCTCATCCCACAAGCACGAGGAACCGGAGGGTGTCCTCCACGAACCGACCCTCGATCTTATACCTTCCATGCCACAAGCCAAGATGGCGTGCACTGGCCATTGCTCGGACGTCCATTTTCTGTGTTTTTTTCGGTTTCGTGCGGGGTTTTTTCGCCAAATCATCAAGGATGCTCCTCGATGGTCCTCGCCGAAGGAAAAATGCACGCGTCCGAGCGATGCCAAGAGGCATGCCCTGGCCAAGCTCGGTGCTGGGTGTATGGCTGGCGCCCTCCGAGCTGAGCCGCGGGCCCTCGACCTCCTCCTTGGTGGAGGAGTCGAAGCGCGTGCCGTCCAGCAGCCGGCCCACGTAGCGGCACTCGCACTTGGAGCTCACGGTGGGGTGAGACCTGCCCTCGCCCTGGTCCAGAACGCTGGTGAGAAGGAGAAGCAGAGGCACAAACATAAATATCAGAGTGAGGGGGCCGCACGGTCATTTGCTGTCCCTGGGCGCGTGGCTGAAGCGAGGTTCCACAGAGCGGATTCTTGTTGTTGAGAACTCTAAAGAATAATTGTTGTTGATCCCCCCTCCTCGGTAACCAGTGTAGCTTTCAATTACAGCGCTTCTCCCAGGGCTCGCACCCTATTTTTTAAGGGAAAGCGAGTACCGCCAAACTGCGCCCCTAGCCCCCGGTTTACATCAACAACAACGGCTCCCGCCAGATACCCCTTCATGATTGATTCCCAAATTGCGCTCTCGCGCGGGACTTCCTCACAAGTTGTGCAGAAGTCGCGCTCTCGCGTGGGACTTCCGCGCAATTTATTCAGACGCCGTGCTCTCGACACTCAGGAATCAGTCTCTCTCGCTTTAGCCGATCCCACGATTTACTGGAGAATCGCACCATTGCTCGAGATTTCCTCGCGAGCGATTCACGCACGACGCACGCTTCAGCAACCCACCTGCTCGATGGCCCATGTTAGGGTCTACCCGCCCGATCTGCCCGTCTGGTTCTGCCACGTGTTTTCTGCTCCGAGCCCCGCTTCTCTCTCTCTCTCTCTCGTGCTCCATAGTTCTCCCTCCCGCTTGTCCCTTTCTTCCATCCGTCCTCCCTTCCCCTGCCGTAGGGGATGCATGACATACACGTTGCAGGTAAGAAAGATACACCCCCTAAGGGGGTACGATCGAAGACGAAAAGGGTGGGTATCAAGAGTTACGGATCTACGTGTTGAATGGCACGCGAGCAGAAAGAAGCGAACAGTTGTCAAATGAGTGTTGTTGTTGTTGTTGTTGTTGCGGTTGTTGTTGTCATTGTTAGTGTTGTTGTGGTTGTTGTTGAGGGTGGCATTGTTGGTGTTGCTGTTGATAGTTGTTGTTGGTGTTGTTGTTATTGTTGTTGTTGTTGTTGTTGTTGTTGGAGGTGGTGGTGGTTGTAGTGGTGGTGGTGGTGGTGGTGCTGTTCTTGTTGCGTTGTTGGTTGTTTGTCGTCGTCCCACCTCCGACCCAGCCCGCGACCACCCTACGACCCACCAACCACCCACCCACGGCCCACCCGCGACCCACCCCGCAACCCATCCGCGACCCACCCGCGACCCACCCGCGACCCCACCCGCGACCCTCCCACGACCCACCCGCTACCCACCCACATTGCTTCAACGAAAAAACCGGCGACTCCAGCGGGTATAATTTGTAACACTCGGCGACTGCGGCGGGCTTCTTCAGAGCCTCGCAGACTGCCGACGTACCCGCCGCCCCCGCACTCTCAACAGCCACTGCGGGGTGCTACGTTTCCGAGCTCCGCACTGATTTCTTGGATCCGCGCTGGGGATCGGGAACCACACCATGCGGCGATTTCGGAATCCTAAACGACCTCACCGCACGGTCAGTCACCGCACGGTCTTGGGACCCTGGAGGCCACAGTCGCCCGAGACGACTTCGAAGAGCGACCCGAGTCCCAAAAACTATGCGGCCACCCCGAATCCCCTCTGTCTCACCACACGGTGTGATCACTACACCGTTTGGGAACCCCCGATCCCTGGCGCGCGGAGCGAGCCAGAGGCGGCGCCAGAGGCGCCGACAGGGGGGCCCCAGCGCAGATGCAAGAAATCCGCACGGAGCCTCCCCAGGCATGCGAAGTCTTGCCTTGTTCAACGGGCGGTCCCCGGAAGACCCGAGCCTCTCCCCAGGGCTAGTTTTCCACCCCGAGCCGATTCTTGCTGGTCCTGGAGCCCGGCGAAGGCCCCCGGAGGCCGAGCATGGCCCCCCTCAAAAAAAAACCCGCGTGAATTTGGGCCACGGCGCGAGCATGCCTGGGCAGAGCTCATGTCTGACTACCTACCAAACCACCTCAACCCAACCCGAAGACCCGAATTTCGGGTTGGGGGGGGGTACGGGCTTCATACGCGTTTTATCAATTTTCTCCGACCTCCCCAATTGGAAATGGAGGGCAAATCGGGGCCTTCGGGTTGGGTTGGGGTGGTTTGGTGGGCGGTGAGTGTCTGTGCCGTGTTGCTCTCCTTCGAGCTGTACTGCAGCCCCGAGGGCAGCGCCACCACGCCCTCCCTCTCCGCCGTCTCGGCCAAGAAGGCCTCCGCGGCGGCCCGGTGCTCCCGCAGCAGCCGCGCGCCTGCGTCGGCTGCTCGCTGCGCCTCCAGCTCCCGCAGCACCTCACGGGCAGCGTTGGGTCGGGCATGTCCCAGGCAGAGATTGGAGGATTGTTATAAAACATGCTCAAATGTGGCCAAACAAATTGACAACAAATATCGTCCCCTGACTTAAAAAAAACATATCAATGTTCCTGAGCGAAAGACTGGCCCGGGCGAGGAATCTCTTGCGGAAGCGCCCAAGAACGGCCGGGGAGACATCTCTTTCGGGTCACGAGCGGCCCCTAACAAAGATAGCCATTCCCAAGGGATTCGGCTTGCTTTTTCCCGACCCCCACAAAGGCTGACCCCCATTAACACGCGAAGGAGCACCGCGTCCGGGCCGCGGCTGACGCAAGCGGCGCACTTTGGCGCCTTTTGGCGGCGAGCGAGGGGGGGAAGTGAGAAGGTGAAGGCCTCCTCAGAAGGCGGCAAAGCTTCTCAGAAGCCCTCGGGCCTCCCGAGAAGTGATATTGTGTCTTCGGGGAAGGCTCAAAAAACATCTCAGAAGGCCGGGGGGACTTACGAGCCCTGTGAGAAGGCCCGCCCCTTCTCGCTTCCCCCCCCTCGCTCGTAGAGGCCTCCTAGATGGTCCGAGTAGATGGAGTCGAAGGATCGCGCCGCATCGCCAATGCATCGCCGATGTATCGGCGATGCATCGGCGATGCAACGGCGACGTCGGCGATGCATCGGCGACGCCAGCGTGGGAAACACGGGCTCCACATCGAGCCGCATCGTTGCTGCATTGGCGATGCGGAGCGATTCTCCGTCGGGCGTTGGACGCCCCCCCCGCCCCGTTCCACTAACCGGAACTGCCGTCACCCGAAAAAGCACAGACACGGCAGACCTGGTTCAAGGATTCTGGCCACTTGAGGGGCTCCGGGGCCCTACCACTGACCGGGTCCCCTTACCTGGGGTCCTGGCTACACCCGACTCCGACCCCGTCTACCCCGACCCCATGTAGGAGGCCTGGAGCTCGCCGCCGAGCCTTCTTCTTTCGCAGGCCTAGAGATTGACACCAACACCAGTTTCGGCGGTGTGCCTCCACCGAGGGAAGAAGATCCCGACCTCGGTGATGGTGGTAATATTCTGGCTTCCAAGGTGGCCGAACTATTACCACCAACACCGAAAATCTAGGATCACCTCCCCCCTGTGGAGGCAACACCCTGTCTTGGTGTTGGTGCCAATTTCCAGGCCTCCGAAGGAGGCCTGGAGCTCGCCGCCGAGCCTTCTTCTTCAGCTGCATCTTCCCGAAGCTCCGGAGGAAGGCCCGCCGAGGCAGCGGCGGCGCTCCCTGGCGCGCGCCGGCCTCTCTCTGGCGGCCTCTCCGCGGAGGCACCTCGTCGCCGCGGCGGGGTCCGCCCCGGAGGACGCGCCGGGAGGGGTCCCGGGAGAGGTCCCGGGGACCGATTCTGTCGTAGGTCGCCGCATGCGAACCCTGCCCCTACCCCCCACGATTTCGGGGGGGACGAGCGAAGTGAACCCCACCCTCCTCAAAGATCGTGGGGGGTCGGGGTAGGGGTCGCATGTGGCCCCCCAGTCAGGGCAAACCCGGGTCAGTCAGGCCTTGCAGGGAGGCTGCAGGATCCTGCCCAAGTCAATGCGCCCCTGGCCCTGCAGGATCCGGCAAGATCGGGCGCCCTGGCTGACCCCCGTTTGCCCTGACCCCCGTCTCTGGGGCCCCGACCCCAGCAAACCATCCCCTTCCGTGACGTCGCCCTCGCCTTTCAGGCCTCCCTCCAGCCGCATACATCCGTCTTGGGGCGAGGCGAGGGGGACGTCGCTGAAGGGGACGGTTTGCTAGGCGTCGGTCAGGCCGCCCCTGATTCTGAGCGGAACTGGGCCGGGCGGGAGAGCCGCCGTTGTCTCAACCGGCCCTCCTCCGAGAAGTGGTCCTTGACCACCAGCTCCCGGCGGCAGCCGTGGCACTCCAGCATGGCCGCCGAGTGAGGGCGGGAACGAGGAGGGGCTTCCGAGGGGCGCGTGGGGGAGACCGATCACGCTCACCTCGTGGGGGCCGCATACCTTTAGCCGAACGCTACGGACAGCTCGTCCACCTCTCCAGGCCTGCTCAGATGTGTCGCGTGCCGCTCCTGGAGCCTGGATCCGCCAGAAAGTGGGGGCGACCACCCGCTGGCCTGTCGTGGAAGCCAGCGCGGACACGAACAGCTTGTCCACTGCAGTCGGACCTAGGATAGAAGAGCATCCTTCGAGAACATGAGACCCTCCGCCGACCAAACACACAGAACATCAGGAAGCACAAGAGCATCCAACAAGTACGAAACCCATCAAAGGCACCCTCCCCATACCGACCTCGATCCTATCTCGGTCCGACCGTGTCTTGCCACGGCCGCACACGAAAACGCCAATCAGCGCGTCCCCTGCCCACACCCGCCGGGGCGGAGCAACGCTCGTGGGCATGGCGCGGGTGCTCCCCTGCCACTTGCAGATTTGGTGCTCGCGCTGCCAATGGTCTGCTCTACTAGGGCTTTGCAGCGTCGTCCGCACCTTGCTTCTGCATGTCCGAGCTCCGCATTTGCCTGCACGCCCTCCTGTGCTCAGCTGCCGCCCTGCCCTGATGGACACTGCGCAGGCCTGACGAAAGCGTGAGAGGTCCCTTCCAATGTGTGGGACGAGAGATCACTGGAACAAGCCGCAGGACGCCGACGCGCTGGTCCGGGGGCGGGGCGCTAGGCACCCGCTGGCAGCTCTTGAGAGGCCGCGCGCCAGGGGGGCTGGAGCTGTTTGCCGTTCTCATGGCCCTGCCGTCGCTCGGGCGCCCATGCCCCGCGCACGTGTCGGCTTCGTGCGCTCTTGTGCTTCGCAAGAGGATCAAGGAATGCTCCTCCGTTGTCCTCACCAGGGAAAAAACGCACGCGTCCGAGCGATGCCAAGATAAATGCGGAGGGGCGGGGCGTCAAATTACAGATGCTCGCTGCTGGCTCGGCGAAGGCGTGTTCAAGACGGCGCCCCAGAAAATGGGCGCCCGTCGTGCGGCAGTGTTGGGTGCAAAAACGGTAAACACCGCAATGGGAACGAAAAGAAAACGGGCCAGTGGGCCACGGTCCGATACTGGACTTGAACACGTAACAAAAACGGCGCCCAAAACACATCGCCGACATTCAAAATTAATCCGACAGAAGGATTCCACATGGTAATCCCACCAGCCCTCTGGGCGTCGGTGGTTCAGAAAGTTTCCACTTACACCCCTCCTTCTTCCCCTTCGGGGAGGGGTTTACCCCTCCCCCTACCCCCTCTCCTGGACCTGGACAGGGGTTTCCGCAAGGTGTCGGAGCGTCCAAAACGGCCTCGGCGAGGAAGCACAACTCATTGGTTTTACTAGGGTTTGGGCGCCATTTTGGCCTCCTGAGGGGGGGGACTGTAATTAGACACCCCCCCCTCCTGTGATCGATCTCACCCAAGATGGCCCAAAGATGGCCCCCAAGGCTCCCAAGGGTGCCCCTAGAGAGTCCCAAGAGGTGGCCAGGAAGCCCCGAGAGGCCCACAGGATGCCCCCAAGAGGCTCCCAAGAGACCCCCAAGAGGCTCCAAAAGACCCCCCAGAGGCACCCAAGATGCTCCAAGAGGCGGCCTCGGCGAGAATGCCAAATCATTGATTATACTAAGGTTTTAGCCACATGTTGGCCTCTTGCGGCGGGGGGCACTGATTAAGATGACTCCAAGAGCGCCTGGGAGAGCCCAAGATGACCTCCAAGATGGCTCAAGATACCCCAAGATGTCTCATAATGGCTCCCACGATGCTCCAGGATGCCCCAAGACCGCTCCAAGACGGCTCCCAGTGGCCGAAGAGCTCCCCCAGGAGGCCCCGAAGAGGCCAACACCTGAGGAATTTCTATGTGGTTGGCTTTCTCGCCTTTTCGCTTCCGATGGCCATCCGAGGCCCCAAGATGACTCCAAGATGGCCCAAGAGGGCTCCAAGGAAGGCTCCAGTGAGCCCCAAGACGGCCCCAAGAGCGCCTAAGAGCGCTCCACGAGCGCCCCAAGAGCGCCCCAAGAGGCGATTGTTTAGACTCCCGAGGGGCAACGCTAACTAATAATCACTTCTTGGTTAATCGATGTCCCCCAAAATGGCCCCAAGAGCGCTCCCAAGGCTCCCAAGAGCGCTTCAAGAGGGCCCCAAGAGGCACCCAGGAGGCCCCAACAGGCGCCCAAGAGGCCTCCAAGCTGCTCCCAAGAGACCCCCAAGAGGCCCCAAGAAGCTCTCCGAGGCGCCCAAGACGCTCCAAGAGGCCTCCGCTGGGGGACCCCCTGTGCGCTGCCCACTTCCCTGATCGAGGCGATTCCTCTGGGCATCGTTTCTGGATGGGCTGGCGGGGTCACGCGAAGCGTCTGGAATTGTCTCAGTGCGCAGGATACCAGGATGCGACTTGTGACTTGTGAGGCCGTTGAGACCTGTGAAGCCTTGGAGGCCTGCGGGGCCTCTGGGACCTGTGCGTCCTGTGAGGCCTGTGGGACCTGCGGGGCCTGTGCTACATGTGTGGCCTTTGGGACCTGCGAGACCTGTGGGACCTGGGGGGCCTGCGGGCTCTGTGGGACCTGTGGGGCCAATGGAGCCCTTGGAATTTGTGGGACCTGTGGGGCCTGGGGGACATGTGAAACCTGTGTAGCCCGTGGGACTTGTGCGGCCTGTGGGGTCTGTTGGACCTGTGGGGCCTCTGGAACCTGTGGAATTTGCAAGCCCTAAAAAATGTGTGGGACCTGTGGGACCTGCGGTGCCTGTAGGACCTGTGGAGCCTGTGGCACATGTGGGGCCTGTGGCACCTGTGCGACTTGTGGGAGCTGTGCAACCTGTGGGACCTGCGGTGCCTGTAAGACTTGTAGGACCAATGAGACCTGTGGAACTTGTGCGACCTGTGGGGTCGTTGGGACTGGTGGGCCCTGTGGGACCTGTGGGAACCGTGGGGCCTGTGGGTCTCCCGCTCGAGACGTTCTCGAGATTATTCAGGTTGCCAAGTGCGACAAACCCTGCATGTTACATGTATCCCGATGGCCGCATCGGATTGGTAACATGAAATGCGGGCCCCATGGGGAAAGGGCTCCCGCTCGAGATGTCCTCGAGATTATTCAGGTTGTCAAGTGTGAGAAACCCTGCGTTGGTTCAGGTATCCCGATGGCCGCCTCGGATTGGTAGCATGAAGTGCGAGCCCCATGGGAAGGGGGCTCCCGCTCGAGACGTCCTCGAGAGTCTGGCTGCCAAGTGTGAGAACCTCTGTGTTGTTACAGGTCTCCCGATGGCCGCCTCGGATTGGCAACGGCAAGACCACAGGGAGGGGGGCTGCCGCTCGATACGTCCTCGTCTTTCAGGCTGCCAAGTGCGAGAAAAGCCCTGTGGTTTCTTACGTTTCCCGATGGCCGCGTCAGCGCGCGATGAGGAATATTATGATGATGACAGTTGATGATCCTGGTGGGATGGTGGTAGTGACGACGATGATGAGGATGATGCTGATGATGATGATGCCGATGATGCTGCTGATGATGAGATGATGCTGATGATGCTGATGATGATGATGTTGATGATGATGATGAGGACGATGGGGATGATGATGATGCTGATGCTGTTGATGATAATGATGATGATGATGCTGATGCTGCGTATGATGATGATGACGATGATGATGATGATGGTGCTGATGATGATGCTGATGATGATGATGATAATGATGATGACGATGACGATGCTGATGACGATGACGATGACGATGACGATGACGATGACGATGATGATGATGATGATGATGATGATGATGATGATGATGATGATGATGATGATGATGTGACAGGAGGGGGTGCGGATAGGACTACGCGTAGTGCCCACAGAAAACAATAACCCCACTCTAAGATGCGTAAACAGAGAACACGCCCTCTGCGATTTCAAAAACACATCTGAGGGCCAGAGTATCTGAGATCGGCGGATCGGACCGCATCGCCGATGCAAGGACGATCCTCATTGGTAGAACCCCTGGGCAGGGCTGAACGAACGGGGGAACTCGACTCAAGACCCAGATAGAAAGAGAATAACAAACCCACGGATGTGTCCAAGCAAACACTGGCTCAAGGGCCGTGCTGCGGGTGCGTTGAGTGGATGTTCTTACTCTCCCCCGCCCCATCGCCCTGCGTCGCGATCCAAACGGATCTGGGCACCTCGGGGGCGGCATCCCCAAGGGGAAGTGAAGTTGCTGGCAGTGGTCCACTCACTGAACAAGCAGGGAGGAGGAAGAGGAGGAACGAACGAACGAACAAACGAACGACAACCACTGCAGACAAGCGTCCAGGGCCTAGCACAGAGTAGGTGGTGAAGGCCGTGGCCTCTGGATTCTGGCGTGCCGTGGACACATGCAACGTGATACACAAAATTAGGAGGCGAGGAGGAAGAGGAAAAGGAGGAGGATGAGGAGCAAGAGGAGGAAGGGCAGGAGGAGGCTGCGGAGGCGAGGAGCAAAAAAGAGGACCCCGTCACCCATCCTCTTCCCCCTCCCCGTGGCGCGAGCGGGGGCGCGTATTGTCCCGTGGAGGTCCGCGAGTCCGCCGCGAGGACAACGCCGCCTTGGGGGAGGGGGGCCCGCGGAACCGCTGGCGGCGGCCACCGGGAGCGGGCGCGGGGAGCGCCCAAAGTCGCGAGGGCCGTGAGGACCTCCACTGCAGGGCGACGAAATCTGCACAGCTCCATCCAGGCAGGGCGGCGGAATCCACTGGAGTCTCCACTGCAGGGCGACGGAATCCCTGGCCAGGTCCATTCTGAAAAAGACGACGCTAGTACCAGGATAAAACCGAGCGAAAATAAATCGAGAATATCTGAGATCTAGCGGCTCTGGAGAACGTCTCGGACGCCGCGGCCTTCTCAAAGCGTTCCAGAACGCTTTCAGAGCGTCCTGGAACGCTCTGCAACGGATTAACCCTCGTCGTAGCCTCGTGCGACTAAATCCAGCAGCGTTGCATACGCCACGCCCTCCTGGCTTGGCCAGGAGACCGCATACTCAGCTTCTGGGCCCGTGAAGGGCCCAGCAAGGGGACATATGATATATATATATATATATATATATATATATATGTGCACACACATGTGTATATATATATATACATACATACGTACCCATGTATACATCTATCTATAAATGTATATGTGTATGTATACACATCGGTTTTGTCGCCCGAACCGTCACCGGCACCGTCGTCCCAGGCCGTGAATGGGATAACATCGGATCGGGATAGGTCGGGGACATCATAGATACACCGGCTCTGGAGGATGTATCGGGCGCCGCGGTCGTTTCAAAGCAATATGGATCGCTCTCAAGGCATTACCGCACGCGCTGATAAAACAAACACATATATGTATACATATCTATATATACACATACATGCATGCATACATGCTCGCATACACATATACGAACAAATACGCACATGCATGCATGCATGCATGCAATCATGCATACACAATATGTAAGTACAAACGTGAAACAATACATACACGCATACAAACGTATTACTTACGTACTTACTTCCCCTCTTGATTACTGCTTTACTTCCGACTTACATATACGCAATCACATATATATAGTGAGAGAGAGATTTAAACGCAGGTCATAACGAGATATACAAGCATACATACATGCATAACAGACAGACTGATAGACAGGCAGACAGCCAGACAGACATACACAAGCACATACATACGCACATGCATACATGGATGTCTGCATGCATACATACATACATACACGCATGCATACGTGCATACATGCATACATACATGTATACATGCGTGCACGCATCGCCTGCATCCATACATACATACATGCATGCACGCATGCACGCACACTTGCATACGTACATACATGAATGCATGCATTCGTACATATATACATGCATCCATACTTGCATACATACCTACATGCACATGGAATTGCACACATATATACAGACAGACAAACGGACGGACAGACATACAAGCATGCAACATTGCCTGCGTGCATGCATGCATGCATCTAAGAATGTATACATGCATGAATATAAACCTGCATGCATGCATGCATGCACGAAGACATGTAGACCCATTCATATGCATACAGACAGGAATACATACAGACATATATGCATACATTACATGTACATCTGCAAGCATAAATCCCGCTCCTGGGCCTGAAGGAGGGAGCTGGCAGTTCGGCGCGGTAGCTTAGAACGTAAGGTTTTAAAAGGGTGAGAGGTCGGAGAGAGAGAGGGAAGGGCACGCTCGAGCCTTTTTGGCTCGCAGCGAGCGGGCCCCTCTCTCGTCGAAGGGAGGGGGGTCCTCCCCTCCGGGGGTGGCCGCCGCCATGGCGGCCGCCGCCACGGCGCCAGCCGCGGCCCTGCGCACGGGCGCGGGCGCGGCCTGGGCCGCCGGGCCGGCAAGGCGCCGCTCGGGCGCAGACGCTGGCGCCCCCCCGCCCCCGCCGCCGCCCTTGAGGAGGAGGTCGAGGATCGGGGCTGCGCACGCGACGACCACGACCGCCTGGTGGCCGCGGGCCTCTTGGGCCCCACTGAGGAAGCCCACCGAATGCGACGGCGCAGTTGCGCTGGTCGCCCTGGCCAGATGGCCTCGCAGGCCCGCCGGCACCTCACCTCGTTCGGGGAGTCGAGCGGAGGACGGACACCGACGTGGGCGCGGAGCCCAGGCCCGCGGCCGCGGCCCCGCCCCTCGAGACGCCAGGAGCGCCAGAGGCTTCCTCGGAGGACGCCACGCACTACGGGAACTACGAGTACTACTAAGAGGCAGAGACGGGCCCGCTTCGCCTCGATGCGAACCGGCCCGACCGCCAAGCCGCGCCGGACATCGCCGTCGAGGACGACGAGGATGACGGTGACAGGAAGACACGGAGGACGACGGCTACGAGGAGATGGGAGAGCCGCCGGCCCTAGGCCCAGCGCCGCCGCACCCCCGTCCAGGATGGGGACCGCCCTTAGCGCTTCAAAGATTTCGCGCCGCCGACGGGGCGCGAGCTGGAGGCCCGCCCGCGCGCGCCCGCCCACCACCTGGACTGGCGACGTCAATCCCGCATGGCTAAGGCTCTGGAGGACCTGCGCAGCCTGCACGAGAACACCCCGCGGAAGCACGCGCCCCTGCTGTTGGGGCGCACGGGGAAGCCCCACTGGAGATGGTCGGAAAAGGTTACGCGGAGCGCACGGGGGGGCGCGCCGCCCCCTCAGCGTGGAACAGGGGCGAACGGAGGATTTCATTTTCGCGGCCCTCACGCCGCGGGCCGACGGCAAGGCTTTCCTGCCGCCCCGCGGCACCTTCGACCTCCAGGCCCCGCAGGGCTAGTCCAAGATGACCATCGAGCGCCGCCTAGAGAAGAAGGCGAACCGAGCCTACTGGGACCGCGCGCACAAGGTCAAGCTGCGCCCGCCCAAGGCAAGGGAGGTCAGCGCCGCCAAAGAGGGGCCGTCGAAGTCTTCACCCGCAGCCGCCCCCGAGGGAGGCGCAGCCTTCGCCCCCCGTTGGCTGACCCGCGTCACTCAGGATGGCGCCCGAGACGACGGCCTGCCAGCCCCTCTTCTGACACCGCTCCTCGACGAGAAGGCGCCGATGTCCACGCGTGTGAAGTTCCCGCCCTGCCGCCGCTGACAGGCGGCGCGCGCGGCCTATGAAGTCCTGCATCTGTGGCCAGCCAGAACTGTTGAAAGAGACCGTCCTCATTGGCACCCGACGATTCCCTGCGCGTTGTCGCGCCCTTGGGACGCCGCGACCAGCCAGACGCGCGGCGACGTGCACCGCCTGATTAGCCGCCTGAACTTCAGGCAGCGAAGCGGTGAACAAAATATCGCATCAAACAAGCTGCCCGAGAGCTGTATGCAATCATTGTGCTCGCATCCCTCGACCAAAATTGCAATGTCTTCCGCCGGCAGGCCATGTGGTTCCTCTGAGGTACCGTGCCCCGCCAGAGCACAACCGCCGAGCGTGGCGCGATTGGCCCCGACGGGGCTGCCACGCGCGGAAGCCGCGCTCGAGGGGGAATTGATACCGCGCGTGCCTATCTACCCTGTCGGGGAGGCAGGCCCGCCCGTCGGTGGTCTCGAGCGTGGCTGCGGCAGCCCTGCGGCGACATGAGATGCCCCAGTACCGTCGCAAGCCTGCAACTGAATGCCTAACTGTCTGCAAAAGGACTGAATGCACTCATTGCGCCCACCATCCCCGACCAAACTTGCAGCGCCACGACCATGCAGTGCCGAAGGCCGACCGCACCCCGCCACAACACTACCGCCGCGCCTGGCCACAGCATCCCCGTCGGGACGACCAGACGCAGAAGCCGCACTCGAGGGGGAATGATCACCGCGCGTGCCTAGCAAGCCCTGCGGGGAGGCAGACCCACCCGTCGGTGGTCTCGAGCGCAGCTGCGGTAGCCCTGCGGCGACACACGGCGACCCCGTTGCAGTTCCACTTACCAGGTGCGTCGGAGCACAAAAAACTGCCACCTGTGTGGCTACGCCCTTCAGCTCGGTAATCGTGGTAGCTCGTAATGTCTCCCTGTTGCGATTGACGCGGCATGCTGACGAAGAAAACAATTGGCGGCGTCCAGAAGCTCTGCGCGACACCGGTGGTAAGGCGCATGGCTGAGCACACCTGCCGCCTCCGTTGTTGCTGCCACCGCTTCCCGGAAGATCTCGATCTTCTGATGGGATAGCGGCATCCCATGGCGCTGGCGCCCCTGCAGGTGCTGCCATTGCGGCCTGTGACGACCCTGTCCGCGACGATGCAGACCTCTGCTTTGCCACACTTACCACCACCTCCTGGAACTGACGCGTGAGGGAAATCATGTAAGTCCCTTCGTTCTCCGTCGTGACCGACGGAGCCGCTTGGACAAGCTTCCCCTGTCGCCCCAAGGCATCATCCACTTCCGTGTCTGGGACAGCGCGGGCCTCACCTGCGGCAGCGGTGGCGAGGACCGCCGCGCGCGCGACCTGCACCTCAGAGCTGATCGCGCTGAGCTCACCCTCAGCTTGCTGCAGCTCGGCGCGTCTGGTCTCGAAGTTATTCTGCAGCTCGGTCACCACACCACGAAGCTGGGCAAACTCTTGGGATTTGTGCAGCTGACGGTCTAACGATCTGCGCAACTGATCACCTGGAGTTCATGCAGCTCGCTCTGCTCCCTCGGTCTCCTGTAGTCCTCGCCGCGCTGCACTGAGCAGGCTGCCGCTGTCGTCGATGCCGAGCCTGCGGAGCGCCGCCGCTGCCCTTCTGGCCCTGGCCACCACGTCTGACACCGTGGGCGGTTCGTCCGCTGGCTCCCCCTCCGCTGCTGGGCGGTCGCCACGGGCGCTGCCAGGCCGAGACCTGCTGGGCCTGCGTGTCGCGGGCGAGCGCGCTGGACGGCGGTCGGGAGCCGCTGCTGGATCAGCTTTGCCAGCCCTGTCCCGCCCGCACATGCAGCACCGTTTGTCGCTCGCGAAGCTCTAGGTCTACCTATTATATACTGGCGAGTGGCAGCACAAGACCAACGTGGATCCACCTTCCCACCATGTTTGCCCCGACCTAATCGACTGGCCACGGGCTGAGGCGGGCTGGACCCGTGGTGTGCTGCAAGCAGTCCTCCGACGGCTTCGGCTCGCAGGAAGTGCCTTGCAGTGCTGCGCGCCCTCCTGCATCGGCGATGCCACGACGGGGGGGATGGCGAGCGCCGCCTCCCCTCGGCGGGCGTCGCCGCCGCGCAGCGCCGCCCGCCAGGAGCGACGCAGGGCGCAGGCGCCAGGCCACGGCAGCGGCGCCGCGACAGCGCAGAGGCCCAATCGCGCGCGGGCGCGGGGGCGCGGCGCGGGCACCCTGCTGGGGGCGAGGGGGCCCTCGACCCCTACGGGGCGGAGGAGGAGGAGGAGGAACATGATGAAGAGGAGAGCAAAAGCCGCAACAGCTGGAAGTAGAGGGGGGGGAGGAGGGGGAGGAGGGAAGGACGAAAGGAGGGGTAGGAGGAGGAGGAGAAGGAGGAGGAGCAGGAGGAGAAGAAGAGGAGGGTGAGGAGGAAAAGAAAAAGGATGAGGAGGACGGCGAAGACGTCAGCGATTGGGGACACAAAGAGACCACCACCACCACCATCATCATCAGAAGTGCGCTCATCATCATCAGCATCATCACCACTATCGCCATCACCCTCATCAGCCTCACCAGCAGCATCATCATCAGCTGCATCATCAGCAAAATCCCACCGCCCACTCTCCATCCCTTAGTATGACTAAGATTGGTAGTATGATCCGTACTAGTGTTATTTATATTACTCATCAGAATAATATGTTTGTTCTTATAGTTACGATTTCCCTCTGCCCCGTATGTCCCCTCCCTCTGCCATCGCCCTCCCTGCCTTCGTCCTCCCCCCCGCCCCTGTTTCTCCCCCTCCCTCCTTCCACCCCGGCGGCGAACTCGTGCGCCCGGGCGCCCGAACACGTTGATCGGGAGCCAGCACAACCCACAACCCCAGAACCTGCACGCTGCTCAGCAGGGGCCTATCAACTCCGATACGTGGGACCGCCACGGCGCACGCGACAATGGCGTGGTCCCTCCCCCCCTCCCTCACCCCCTCCTTCCTTCCCCCCCCTTCCTGGACCTTCCTCCTCTGCCCACCGCTCGCTCTCCGTGGTGCGTGTCCTCCCCTTCCGCCGCCCACGGCCCCTTCCTCCCTCCCTCCCTCCCCCCTCCCCCCTCCTCCCTTCCCCCCCTTCCTCGTCCTCCCGCCCTCCCTCCCTCCTTCCCTCCCTCTCCCCTTCCTCCCTTTCCCCCCATCCTCGACCTCTCCTCCGCCCACTGGTCGCTCTCCGCGGTCTGTGTCCTCCCCTTCCGCTGCCCACCGTCAAACTCGACCGCCATGATGGTCGTGCCTGCGCGCCGCGGGGGGGCGCTTGGCGGCATACTCCCCTCTTTCCTCCTCCTCCTCCTCCTCCTCCTCCTCCCTCCTCCTCCCCTCCTCCTCCTCCCCCTCTCCTCCTCCTCCCTCCTCCTCCCTCCTCCTCCTCCTCCTCATCCGTATTATTATTGTTATTATTAATAATATTGTTATTCGTATTATTGTTATTGTGATTATTATTGTGACTATTATTACTAGTAGACTCATTAGTTTTATTATGATTACTAGTATTATTACGAGTAGTATTACTATTAGTATTAGTATTAGTATTAGTATTATTATTATTATTATTATCATCATTATTGTTAGTTTCATGAGCATCCTGATTAGTATCATTATTATTGTATATGTGTGTATGTATACACTTATCTGTACCCTTCCTTCTCCTCCTTCCTCCTCCTCCTATACTAATTCCTCCGTGTCGTACCCCGAGGCAAGGAAGGACGAGCCAGGCGTTTCGCCTGAGACTTCCGTACCCATTTATGATCGTGGATGTAGCGAATTCGGCAATAGCTGAACAATTGGAGGGCGGGTCGCTTTGAACATGTGATTCCCGTCTTAGCGCCGCGCGGATTCTTTTTAAGCAGTTGCAGAAGTTTCAATGGTTGAGGGCGGGCGGTTTTCAAAATGTGGCTATCGCCTGCGCGCCGCGCACATTCGTTTTAAATATTTACAGAAGTGTCATGGGTTAAGGACGGGTCGTTCTCAAAATGTGGTTCTCGCCTTAGCGCCACGCACACTCGTCTGGAATAATTTCACGGTTTGAGGGCGGCTGATTTTCAAAATGTGGCTCTCGCCTTACAGCCGCGCACGTACGTTGTTTTGTATGTTTTCACGGGTTCCCACGGTTAACGTACCAGAAATGGTGCTGTTGAACGATGCGGATTTGCCAGGGCGCAACATGTGCATTGATTCGCGGTGGTGAAATGGTGTTCTGGCACGATTCAGGACCGTCAAGACGCAACAGCCAGGTTGCTTCGTGGCGTTGCAGTCCCAACACGCTTCAGGATCTTCAAACGACGGGGCACTTCCCTCAGTGGAAATGAATCCTCGCAGGGGCCTAGGAAGCGGGAGTTCGTCGGGAATATGTATTCCAATAGCGTTGGTGAGTCTTGGGTTTGCACTGGTCCTCCTCCCCCTCCTCCTCCTCCTCCTCCGCTTCTATAGTCCTCCTCCGGACGGGGGGGCGAGCCGACGGTGACCGAGGAACGCCGTGGCATGCAGCAGGATTGCGGCCGCAGAAGAGCTCCGCACGAGAGCCACACCGAGAGGACCAAAGGATGCCGATGGAACACCCCGGAGGTGCCAGTGCCAAGAGGGGACCTGGCGAAGCGCACGGCGGCCAACTGACGCGCGCGCCCCCCCTCTGCACAGCTGCATGTACTCACCACGGCGCGAACGCTTCTGAAAGCGAGCCCTGCTGGCTTCAAGTGTCGTCTGTGAGCCACCCCTCGTCGAAGTCCGCCCCGACCTCTCTCATGCCTCGCCCATCCCCTCGCCATCCCATCTCTCGCCCATCCCCTCCCCGCCCTGACCCTCATATCTCTCATGTCCCCTTTCCCATCCCTCCCCTCATATCCTCCTGGTCCTCCGAGACGTACCGTCCACGTCCTCATCTCCTTCCACACGAGGCGCAGTCTGCGGATGGCCCCCGAAGCCCCCGGATGCGCTCGCAGCGCAGGCCCGCGGAGGCCCGAGGGCATAAAAAAGCGCCCAGGGATGGACCGAAGGGGGGCGGGATGCGGGGCTAGCCTCAGAAAGTTGCTCGTCCTTACTGTGCGGGTTGACTGTCGTGGTCAAACGAGCTCGTTCTGCCAGCCCCACTCGTCCCCTTCGGGGGAGGGGGATCCCCCTCCCCCTGCCCCCTCCCCCGGAGTCTGGAGGGGGGCCGTTCCGTGCGGGGGGGGGTCGTCCAAGACGGCCCAAGACCGAGATGCCCGAGATGGCCTCCAAGATCGCTCAGGATAGCCCCAAATGATTCAAGGTACAGAGCCGTTTTTTATACATGCTCCGCGTGCGGATTATGCTTTTAAAAAATGGATTTAGTATTAAAAACAATGATGAATGTATGCATTGATTTATTAATGAATTAATCATGTATTAAACATCCAATGTATTATAAATCCTCTGCCCTGTAGCTTCCAACATGCCTCCGAGAGCCATCAAGACCGCCCCAGGACGGCCCCAAGTGCCCTTCGAACCTCCCAAGCAGGCGCCTCAGAGGCCACAATTCTTCCCAAACGATTGAAGATCAATGAGCTTCGCTTTCTCGCTGGAACGCTTCCGATGCGCTATTGGCGCCTCTAGATGGCCCCAAGATTGCCCAAGAGGGCCCTACGAGGGGCCCACGAGGGGCCCAAGAAGGGCTCAACAGCGCCAAGGACTGCCCCGAGAGCGCCCCAAGAGGCTAATTTAAGGGCTCCGACAGGGGGCGCGGACTGGGACTCCCTCCTGTGACCGATTGCTTCCAAGATGGCCCCAAGAGGACCCCAAAGTCTCCCACAAACGATGCTCACCAGAACGATGCCTGTGTCGTGGCTGCTGCGAAAGAAAAAGGTCAGGACCGCCGCCGCGCAGATGACAGCGATGAGCCGTTACGCGGACTCGAGAAACGCGCGAAAATTGAACAGTGCATGCTGGCCACGCGGCCGACCGGTGTCAGTAGAGCCGAACGCTACACCGGGATCAGGGGCACTCATGATCGCCCAGGGGAAAACACTGGGAGGGGAGGAGAGGCATGGGCCGGGCAGGCGCTGTCACAGGACCACCACCAACAGTCGGCGACGAGCCTGTTGGGGAAGTGAGGAGGAGCGGGCCTTCTCAGCAGGCTCGGCAGTCCCCGGACCCTCCGAGAAGTTCTCTGAGCCTTCCCCGAAGACACAGAAAACCTCTCAGAAGGCTGGACGGCTTCTGAGAAGCCCCGCCGCCTTCTGGGAGGGCTTCTCCTTTTCACTTCCCCCCTTTTGCCCGCCGCCGAAACAGACCAGAAGGGCGGAAGTCGGGAGGCGACGGGGTCGACGTCGCCCCGCCGTAGGCGAGTCCACCGCACCGCGGCCGCCGCCGCCGCCGCGTCGTGGGGTCGCCGCCTCGTCGTCGCCGGTGGCTGGCACCCCGCCTGGCCAGGGTGCTGTGGCGCCGTCGATTCGTAGCCGCCTCCAAGGCTCCCAAGAGGGGCCGACGAGACTCCCAGGAGGGTCTCAAGAGGGGCCCAAGAGACCCCCAAGATCGCCTAAAGACACGGCAGGGACTCCCCAAGTAGTCCCAATATGGCTCCAGGATGACCCCAAGAGGCATACAGCAGGCACTCAGGGCCAAAGACCCGCAAAGGCTTCGATGTTTGATTCCAGTCGTCGTCGCCGTCGTCTCCCAAGGGGGGCGCATGCTGCTATATATATCCCTGATCAGGCCAACTCGACTAGCGTCTGTCGTTGGATGGGCTGGTGAAGATACGCGAAGCGAAAAGCTATCCTATTCCCTCTTCCCTCCTCCTCTCGGCCACCCCATCCTACCCTCGAGATCCTCTTTGTCATCAAGCTGTTCAGCAGCCATCAATTGGCCGCTTCTGCTGCGAATGCTCAGCACCAAGCCCTCGTTGTCATCCAAATTCCGCGACCACAGAACTTCATATGACTCGGCCTCAGCCGCTGCGCGAATCAAAACAACGGCAGGTAAACCGGGCACCCACGCGAGGCGCCATGCGATGGGCAAACTCTCATACAGCAAATCGTGGCCTGAAAGAGGAAACGACGGTACCGAATGCGAATATCCCCGAAGCCCAAAGGGCCAACGATATTGCCTACGCGCAACACAGAGAGGGAGGTGGAGGAAGGGGAGGGGGGAGGAGAGGAACGCTGATACGAAAATTGCCCCGAATCGTATCATCGAGCATCACACACTGACGCACCAACACTGGGAAAACTTAGTGGCAATCTTCACGGACACAGCCCTGGCACCAAGATCCCGCTGCCATTCTAGATGAATTGTTGTCATCGTCCTTATGTTCCTCCTATTCACCGTCATAACCACCACCACCACGTCATCATCATTGGCAATGCCCATTGCCACCACAATCATCAGCAGCATCAGCAATAACAACATAAGCATAAGCATGATCACCATCATTATCCCCATCGCGAACACCAACACCAACATCAGCAATATCGCTATCGTCACCACAATCGCCATCATCCGCAGCAGATGCACCATCACCGTCATCACTGTCACCAGTGCCATTGCCATCATCATCAGCAGCCACTACACCTTCGCAATCGCCATCGTCACCGGCATTAGCATCACCGTACCAACAACCCGTATCACCAGCAGCAGCGTCACCATTCAACCACGCTCGGTGTCCAACCCAGCAGCCTCTTCTACCCCCTCCTCCTCTTCCTCGGTCCTCCTTCCCATCCACCTCTCCTCTTTCTTCTCCTCCCCCCTCTCCGGTTCGAACCTCACCCCCCTCCTCCTCTCCCTCCTCCTCCTCCTCCTCCTCCTCCTCCTCCTCCTCTTCTTCAGCAACTTCGCGTCTCAGCGGCTCACGAGCGTTTCGAGCGCCGACCTCGGAATGGTCGCGCGCTCGAGAGCCATGGGGAGGCGTGGCGCCCAACATCATCAGCTACAATGCTGGGATCAGGGCGCGCGTGGTGAGGCCGCTAGGAGGAATGCTCTTCCCCCTTCCCTCGTCGCTCAGGAGGAGGAGGAGAAGGAGGAGGCGGAAGAGGAGGAGGAGGAGGAGGAAGAGGAGGCGGAAAAGGACGGCGGAGCCCTAGTCTACCGGACGGGCAGCGGCGCCAATCACAGAGGCGCTGGTCCACCAGTGCAGGACCACTTCGGGCGACCACTTGGCGCAAGCACGGCAAGAACGCGTGAGCCAACGTCACCAGCTACAGACCTGAGACCAATTCGTGCGGGAGACGCCACTATGCGAAACGGGTTGCAGGAGCAAGCATCATCAGCTGCGACGCTGGGATGGGC